CTCTCTCTCTCTCTCTCTCTCTCTCTCTCTCTCTCTCTCTCTCTCTCTCTCTCTCTCTCTCTCTCTCTCTCTCTCTCTCTCTCTCTCTCTCTCTCTGTCTCTCTGTCTCTCTCTCGAGCAAAGTGGTTAAAATGTAGTCGTAGGAGCCCGTAGTGATTCGACGTCCCTGTCTCTTACCTATGTTACCCTCGACATCGTCTATACGAGTATGACCTACACGTGCGCGATACATTTCCAACTGGGAATTGAATTTCCTTGGTAATTTTAATGCCATTGTGGCTGAAGGGGTGGAGAGAGGCAGCGAGACAGAGGGTAACAAACACAACCACAAAGTGTGCATCCCCTAACCACCTCGTAGACGCAAAATTTAGTTGGAGACGAATACGATATCCTTGCCATTCCCGCGTGGTTCTCCGCTCGAAATGATTCGAGCGTATGAAATTTAGACGTTCCTTTGCTGCAAATACGGCACAAACGAACGAAAGATATGAATCATCGTTTTAACGAATCGTTCTTTTTTATACTAATTTAGTACGAATATTAAACATTTTTCGTAGTAAAATTTCTCGTATAAAATTCTCGTGATTAATACGAGTGAAGAAAGAAGAGAGAAGAAGATTGTGTGTATTATTTTTTATGTAATATGATTTTCGAAAGAAAATAATAGTATCGAGAAATTTTATTACGCCTCCGCGTAAAATGGAAATGATGAGTTAATGGCGGTTTATTTTCGGTGTTCTATTGAAAAAAGCCAAAAGATACGAAGTGATATAACCACTTAAGAAAGCTTTGACTAAAGTTCCAAGCACAGAATCTGTGCTGCGAAGTAAAGCGGATTTTCCCACCTTGAAGTGCTCCCCTGTTATATCTTTATAAATGGAACCACTCGAGAGTGAGTGGGGAAACGACAGCTTTTATCGCTCATAAGATTTAAAATATATGATGATACCAAACACTCTTTTAAGAATTAATATTACTTATCTACGTTTGGATATAATTTGAATAAATAGAAAAATTTTCATATGGAGAAAATTACAAGATATTTGTATTAAAAATACAGACTGAATACGTTTCTAAAGCGATATTTAAAATTGAATATAATTATTTATAATTATTATAAAAAAAAATGTTATTATTGTATTTTTAGAATTAAAATTTTGAAAATTGTATACCATGCTATGATATAGAGAATTCAATTCATTATGTCGTTGATAAGGTAGGAATTTGGTATACAATTAATAAGACAGGAACTTGATATATAGTTGATAATGTAGAAATTCAATATACAGTTGATAAAGAAGTTTATTTTATGAGCAAATATCATTGATCATTAGTAAATAACAAATTTGATAATAAAATAGACAGAATTTAATAATTTATCTTTACAATTATTTTATTTTATATAAAATTATAAAATAATAAAACAAAAGTTAATAATCGACAATTGTTAACTAATTATTTTATTTGATATTATTAGCAAATAAATTATCATGAGAGAATATAACGTTTAATTTCTAAAATATCGACTTTACAAAAAAATTGAAGTGCTTCTTATATTTTCTAATATATTATAATTTAAAAAATACTTAATCTTATTACTATTTCAACAATTAAAAATGTAAAAAGAAATCTAAATTTTAAAATATTTAATAGAATCACAATAGATAAATTTTGCTTATACATATTCTTATGTATGAAACAAATGACTGAAATAATTTGATATTAATTTTGAGTAAACTTATTTTCTTCTTTTTAGTTCCTAAAATTATAAAACAATTATAACACATTTTACTTTTTTTACTTTTTTTTTTTTTTGAATTTAATTTTATATACACGTAATTATATTATAATGTACTAGATGGCATAAGAAACACTCTAATCTTTTTTGAGGTTAGTATTTCGGAATATGTGATACAAAATCTCATAAGATGTCACGTCTGTTCTATTTCTCGTTTGTGACAATATCATTCATTTTTTGCACAATCGGTATTTCCGGACACGAAATCTACAAATCTCTTCTGAATGTGAATATGTGAAAATTGTAAAATATATATTAAAATATATATATTTAAAATATTTAAAAAAAGTTAAGAACAGTAACAATATCAAACATTTTACTTCTATTAAACTTTTCACTATTTGCTCATAGAATTTGAACTACTAAAAAGTTTTATTTGAAATATTGGATAAAAAATAAGGATAATAATAAAGGTAGGAAGAAATAATTTAATCCAAATAAATTTCATTCTTTTAAAGATTCTATGATCCATATATGATCCGAATTAAAGTTTTCAAAGTAATTCAAGTAATGACCACATGTGGTGCACCGATCGCCATTGCAGAATCAATGAGAGCGAGTCGAGCGTTGAATGAAGTGTAGCAAAGTTATTTCGCGTCCGATAAATCTCGACTCAGTCGACGAAACTCTCGATTGTGCGTACATTGGCAATCGTGGCCACTATCGATATCAGGGCCACGCACTGCCATCAGAGTATAGAAAGTGCTGCTACGGATGTTGAACAGGTGTCCCCACTTCGATACTCTAACCTCGGCGCTGCTTTCAGTGGCTCTGCAGTGTCGGATGTACACGTATGTGCGACGTACGGGATGTGCACCTGGAGGCGTTCTTGTTACTAGGTCATAAGAGGTGCGTATCAATGAAATTCGTGCTAATCAACCGTTGCTCGCAGAAAGTAGACACGTCTACAGTCACGGGAACAGACCGCGTGTGTGACATCGTACGCCGTCGTGTTAAGTGCATTCGACGAGAAGTTTGACCGATTGTCCGCTGCTCGCACCTGGCGTCTCTCGCCAGTCTGATCCATCGTCGTGTGTGCATTCCGCGTCCTGCTTTCCTTTCGTCCTATACGAACAATCGTGTTCGCGAACGTTTCATGTTGACGTGTATAAGATTACAACAATCGCAAAACATCCGGGTTCAGTGACGTATCGATATCTTGTTACGTGCCGCGACGAATTCCACGTTGCTATTACTGTGGGTCTAATAACAGACTACTGTAGTGTATAGAGCACGAATCCAACGAACATTCATAATTTTATATTGTGCTCAAAACGAAACAACGTCGGGTGAACCAGAAGCTGACCAAACACCGATCGAAAGAACGTGTTCTCGAGCAGGATAAAACTGGGTAATGTCTTTTTAGCTTGTATCACGCGACCGCTACCCGACCATGTGGTGTTCCAACGTAACGGTGCTACGTGGATAGGTATATACGTAATATTTGTCCTCTGATGCGGACGTGTGTAATTATACTATTCTTGCAACGATATATATGCACATATATAAATATATATATATATATATATATATATGTATATATATGTATATATTTATATTTGGTGTAGCATGCGTTTCCAATTCACTATAGAATTGTAGTGCACGGATTCCATCCCGTTCTTGCCAGTCCGGTCGTGAAGCGAGTAATCTTATTCTACCGGCTATGTCGGTATTCCGTTTAAAGGAATGCGGCACACCTGCTCGTCTTTTACTGTATTTCCAAGGTTTTTTAAATTAAATTTTGTTTTAATCCATCAAAGATTTTTAATTGAATCATTTTTTTAATAAATTATTAGATGAATAGAATCTGAAAACATAGTTTTTAAATATAGGAAATTTTTAATTCGAATGTTTCTGGAAACATTCTGATACAATATTTATGAAGTATAAATGGAAATATATATGAAAAATATATAAAAATAATCATAATTAGTGTGTAATTAAAAATTTTAAAGATAAAGTCCAATTAAAAATAACAAGTATAAATAAATAAGGTTAAAATTTAAATTTGATTTAGATTTCTATTAGGTTAGATTGACTAAATTTTGAATTAAAGATTAGCTTAAATTATAGTTAAATTTAAATTTTTCATGAATTCAAATATATAATTCAAATGTTTTAAATCATTTATATTGATTTTGAACAATGAGTTTTATTTTTTTTATTTTTACATGAAAAATCATTCGATCCATTATGAATCATTGCGAATAACCTTCATTAACGATAGATAAATAATTCATGAAGACAAGCCGGTTCTTTCCATCGAAGAACGTTAAATAAGTAAATGCAACATACCTCGACACTGATTAATAAAACGAGTGAAAGGTCTATCGTGTAAAATTCTTTCTCGTAGGTTGATGAGTGAATTGCTTAGTTCAAAACGGCACGCTATAAGGACATGTGTATTCAATTCTGATCGTCCTTGTATAGTTAGAACAAATGATTTCATTACGATAATAGACTTGAAAATCTGATCACAGAGAATGCATTAATATCGCGTTTAATATGTCGAGATTATATATTTTGGGTAATTCCGTTTGTTTGATAATGCCGCGCGATTAGCATATTTGCTTATAGTAACAATTTATAATACTAATGGTAAATAGATATGAACGATTTGTGTTCGGTTAACGTCAACATTACGATGAAATTTCCTGTCAGTATAATATGCAATTTAGAAATTTTGAAAATTATGATACAATCTGATATCTTCATGGGATTAAAACAATATTATTTTCATAGATTACAGTATAATAATAAAAAAATAATTGAATGGAAGTTATATATTGTAAATTATATATAAATAAAAAGAAAAGATAATTTAATATACAAAAAATATTTTTAAATTTTTAATTGATAAAATACCGTTTTATACTGATTATGAGAAATGGCAAACTAAATAATTTTCAATAAATTTCTAATAAATCAATAATCAAATATCAATTTTTTTTATCTTTTGATTATAAATAAATTTAAGCAAAGAATATAATTAATGTTTAGAATTTTAATCGAAACATAAATATTTCATTTCATTTGTTCGAGTCTTAATCGATTCGAGATGCTACATAATTGATTCTAAAACGTTCTTTTTTCTGATTGGAGGATCAAAACATCTAGTATTAAATTAATTTAATTAATTAAATTATTTTAAATATAGCTTTAGCATAATGAAATTAAATAATTCTAATCAATCGTGATAAGATTTTATTGTTAAAGTTATTTTCTTCTCTATTTTCTATCTCGCGTTAATTATGCACGAACTGTAAAATTTCAACTAACCTCATATTTTATTTGCTATATCCGTTTCGTTTTCAAATTTCGATCTACGTAATACGATTCTGTCGGTATTGTAGTTTTAGGCATAGTCACGGGAAGAACTTTTTGAAACGTTAACGGTCATTATACGTCGCATTACGTTTAATAAAGGAAAACAAAAAAAGAAAAGAAGGAAATAGAATCACTAGACGACGACTTTCGTGAGTGAAATAAACCGTGAACATGACTGCATCGAGTAAAAAGTGTAATTTGTAAATTCACAATAGGTCTTCCATGTCGTGTGCACGCACATACTTTTCGTAATCGATATAAATAAGTAGTGTTTTTCGCGCGCATAAACAGCATTATTTGAAATAAATTATTTCATTAAATGTCTTTCAAACACTTGTGTTATGTCGGTAGCTTGTCATAAAATTGACTTATAATTATTTATATACGATAACTGAATTCATATACGGATCTAACCTCTAATTTTTTTCTTTCGAATATAGATAATTCACAAATTTGTCGTTATACCATATTTTATGTTTGATATATAAAATTATTATTTGGAAAAAATTGCAATTTGAAAATTATTGGATTTAAAAATTTAATCTTGTTGTGTTAACATGTCAACGAAGATAAGATAATAGTGTAAATGTTCGAATATATATATGTATAAACTTGGCATGGATTAGTAGGCTTTATGAAACTGAGGTACCTATATTCGTTGCAGTTTATCGATAGTTGGACGAGAAACCTTTAAAGACAGCTCGTTGCAATATAACGAGAATGGTTCACAACACTCGACCCACACAGTTATGGTTTTTAACAAGTTACGCAGTTCTTTTATAATGGAATTTGTAACATTAGTCTTACGTATATTCGGTATGTTCGATACATCATTTAAATAAATCAATAAATTAATTTTTATACGATACGATCGTTATTACTCCTTGTATTTGATAACTATTTTGAAATATATTTTCTTTTTTTTTTCTTTTTTCATTTTTTTTATTGTTTAATCGGTATTTAATCGGTTAATACTAACTTTTACATAACTTGTAAAGTTAAGAAAACTATTTTATTGATTAAAATAATTATTTTGTTTTAGTGATTGTGATAATAATATACAACATATTCACATACTAAATAATTTTTATCTAATATGTGAATATGTTAATAACTTAATATATTCATATATTAGATGTAGATTTACTTAAATAATTTTATTTATACATTTTTTTTCTAGGTTAAATATATTTTTATAAAAATGTTTAAAAATATAGGATAATAAACATGTTTTATATGTTAAAAATAATTATGACAGCAGATAAAAACTTATTGATATATATTCTAATTTTATAAATTGATATGTGAGAGTACACGTTACAAAGAGTTTTTAATTTCTTCTATACATATTATTATAAAATTAATGAAATATATGATGATATTTGAAAATAATGTATTTGATTAATACATATTTTTAAATATATATATTTCCTGTACATTGTTAATTCATTCTCTATTACTCAGAAAAGTTAATGCCGGTTTTGTGACCCGTATAAAGTGGTGCGTAATAACGGTATTCGTATGATACTGCGATCTTCATTGTATTGCTGGTATTGTCGAGGTTCGCCAATATAATTAGAATTACTTCCGACATTATGGATTTCAAAGAGTGAGATATAAGAAGTTGAAAAGAATTGGAATAAAAATAATAATTGGACAATATTTTATTGCAATATTTAAATACATTATATAATCACAAATGGCACAAATATCACACATTGTGCTAAATTTCTTTTAATATCCATTATAATTATCTTAAATACGTATTTCAATATATCATTACCTCGTACATATAGATTAAAACGTACTTAGCGATATTTAACGATACTTAACGAAGAGCTTGCCGCTTATAATATTTTAACCTACTTTTGTCGCCTTCGAGTTATTGGTCGTTTTCTTCGTCGATAATTCAGGCAGGTTATAATGGAAGGGAATAGAGAACGAATGGAATGATGCGGCAGGCGCGATTTTCAACGGAAGAATTTCATTCGCGGACCAAACAATGGACGCGAGAACTTGAATCATCGCGCGAGTTAATTACGACAGGAGCGCTTGCATTGCGAATTGCATCGCACCGGAGGATGCCTCGCCATGAATTCTGTCCCGTATATTGGATCAGTCTTGCTTTACGGCTCATTTGGTGGTGCGCAGACCAACGCTAACAACCGGAAATGGACTATATTCTCTCGTGAAGATAAATTGAACAATCATTGAATAACATTTCTTCTTCTTTTTTTTTTATTTTATTAAACAAAATGATATTTTGATTTTTGTTTAATGAGATAGAATTTAAATATTTGAATGATATAATAAATATATCAAGAATTTTATCGAAATTTTATGAAAAATATTTTCAATTCGTTTGCTACAAGTATATATCAATAGATTTGTTGGAGTTGATTAATAACTCTAATTTTCTAATAATATTTATTTATTTTGTTCTTTTTTTTTTTAATTTAAAAAATCAAATTTTTTCCATGATAATTTTTAATACTTTATTGAACATAATCAATCAAATCAAGGAAATTGATAAATAATATCTGTTAAATTTATCGTGAAATTATTTTCCTAAATAGTTTGTGGTAAAATCATGCATTCAATTTATTTTGTATTGTTAGCAAAGCATTCGATGAAAATTTGATTGAAATTACTTCAGTGGTTTCGATGAAAATGGATCATAAGTTTTCCCATACAGATACCTATTCTTGTAAACAATAATTAGAAATATTCGCTCGTATATTAGTTCATTATTGCATATAAAACATTGCTTTCTTAAATAATTTGATTAAAGTAATTTCCACATAATACTATTGCCACCTTAATTCATCTTTAAAAATTAAATATTATATATACATACTTAATTATTTTATCAAAAATATATTTTTATATAATTACGAAAAGGAAGGTTACTTGGTTATTACAAAAGGGTTTTGTTTCTAAAAAAAAATGTCTTAATTAAAGAAAATTGATTATATATATATATACAAGATATTTTATTCATAGCATAATTTAGAGGATGATTTC